GATGTCAGATTTCCGATCGTCGTTGATAGCCACAAAATAGAATATTAATGAGCTGCCTAATTTCCCCCCAATTATCCATAAGGCTCCTGCCAATTTTACCCAAATTATCCATAAATAGCCCTCCATTTTGAGGAAAATTCGGGAAAATTGAACAATTTTACAAGGAATTTCGCATGGAAACAGCAACCTTCGCAAATCGCAAGTTTATAAAAGTTTATACGTTTGACTGCGCTGCTTTATATTTTGAGAAGAAAGCGACACCGTTCGATTCAGCGTAAGAAATTGTACTTACGAATGTCAAGTGTATTACTAAACACCCGTATTCTAGCGATTTATGGCCTTTGAAAATGAAGCGAAATTGTATTGTTGAAAAATCGCTCGCAGTACGTATTGTTGATCACAAATCACTCGCACTACGTTTGTCCACAGGTTTGTCCTTGTATTTGTAATGCCTAATGGCGCAATAAGGATAAAAATACCACCGTTCGATTCAGCGTAAGAAATTGTACTTACGGATGTCAAATGTGTTACTAAGCACCAGTATTGTAGCGATTTATGGCCTTTGAAAATGAAGCGAAATTGTATTGTTGAAAAATCGCTCGCAGTGCGTTTCATAGTGTTTTGTAATGCCTAATGGCCCAATCAATAAGGATAAAAATACCACCGTTCGATACAGCGTTAGAAATTGTACTAATTACGAATGTCAAGTGTATTACTAAACAACAGTGTTCTAGCGATTTATGGCCTTTGTCTTTGAAAGCCAAGCGAAATTGTAATGTTGCCAATCGCTCAATATTATTAAACTAATTATAAAAAAATGCAGACTATCTTTAAAACCAGGAACGGGGAATCGAGGAACGGAACGGAACGGAATCGAGGAACGGAACGGAACGGAACGAGAAAAGCCGGAATCTTTAAAACCCGGAATGAGAAAAGCCGGAATCTTTAAAACCCGGAATGAGAAAAGCCGGAATCTTTAAAACCCGGAATGAGAAAAGCCGGAATCTTTAAAACCCGGAACGGGAAAAGCCGGAATCTTTAAAACCCGGAACGGGAAAAGCCGGAATCTTTAAAACCCGGAACGGGAAAAGCCGGAATCTTTAAAACCCGGAACGAGAAAAGCCGGAATCTTTAAAACCCGGAACGAGAAAAGCCGGAATCTTTAAAACCCGGAATGAGAAAAGCCGGAATCTTTAAAACCCGGAATGAGAAAAGCCGGAATCTTTAAAACCCGGAATGAGAAAAGCCGGAATCTTTAAAACCCGGAATGAGAAAAGCCGGAATCTTTAAAACCCGGAATGAGAAAAGCCGGAATCTTTAAAATACGGAATTATTACTGTAATTAATAATTAATAATTAATAATTTATTAATTTAATTAATTTATAAGCCAAGTTTTGGCGGGATTCCTAATCTCTTTTGCGCAATTGCGCCCCTCGTGTCAGATCCTCGAACTGTGAACAAACAAGTAAGCAGTATTAAAAGTAAACAACCTCAAGAAATTTTGTGCAAGGCTGAACTGGGAAATTTGTTGCGCATGCGCCAGATTTCCATTGAAACTTGAAGATTTCCCCGAAGAAATATTACGAGATGTTCGTGGTTGTTGTATATTTTTGAATGCCTGTTTAATCTTTATAATTTTTTTGCTTGAGACAAAGACAAAGTAAAATGTACTCTACGTTTCCAGTGTATAGAATATCTCGTTTGAACAGCAATAGAATATTATAATCTTGACACAAACAAGAAGACATTTGACAAGCTAAATGTGCAGTCATGCCTGAGGTATATAAAAAGCCAATCGTCGCGTGCTTGACAGCCTTGTCAAACGCAAAACAAGTACAAATTTGGGTTCAAACAGAAAGAAGTTCAATGTTAATACAACTAACATATATACTATACAAATATGGGTGGTTTAAAATGTTTTCAATTGAATTTTCAAAGTTTTTATCTATCGCTATGATAATCAAACTGTGAAAATGCCGCAGTTTTGTTGACGCTTGCGAATGCAAAATAACTTCCCGTAAACTCAGAGCATTTCTACACAAAACTCTCGCTTAGTCTTCTGATGCACTTGTACGTTCGGTTCTACTAGTTAAACAATGAAAATATTCAAGAAACAATGGTCAATTATCGTTGTCAAAAAACATTTCGGTGCTGAGGCAGTACAAGGTCTCAAGGGCAAGGTCAAGTTGTCGATTTCATTACATTTTACAGTACTTCGAATGTTTTCGAACTTTTGCTTCATACAAGAGCAGTAAACGCACTCATTTCAAAGCGAAATTAGACGCAAAGGGGCAATTTTTCAACAAAATTTATTGTTAAATTCTGTTTCCTATGTGCCTTGGGAGCAAAAAAATATGATTTTAAATTTGGAGGAATCGGTAAATTTTTTTGCAATTTGGCCTGGTATTGCACCCTACCTATGTAATGACTGTGCTGTAAAAGTAATCAAATATACTATTTTGAATTTCCCTTCATTGAAAGGATCTACTTTTGTGGACTAAACTAAATTTTAATCAGCATATAAGGCTGCAAACAACAGCCAAGAATTAGCTGGGTAGTTTGCAAACTTTAAAAATAATTGGACCTCAAACTTTGATCCCCAAAAGTAAACAAATGGCCAATACTGCGAACATAATCAAAGTTTTGACCACCAGGGGAAATTTTTAGATGTAAAAAAACTTGTTTAAATTACATATCAAACAAAGGCAAAACAAAATTTGGTATTAATTTTTTGGAGGAAACGTCAAGGTTTTTTGCTATTCGCGCACGCTTCTACACCCCCTCCCCCAGGATCTTCTCTATCAGAAAACAGTTTTCTGCAGAAACTATGCTTTTTTATCGGGAAAATTTTTACTTTTATCAAAAAAATACTTTATAAACACGGAAACCTTAAATATTTAAATAATTTTCATACCTTTTTGGTGTAATGTGATTCAATTAATATTAACTATTACTAATGACGGGGCCACGTGTATATAAACTAATGTATTGATATTAAAGTCTCTTTTCAAACCTTACTACATGGTAGCAGCGGTGGAATACTCGAGTGACCAAAAGAAATTAAATAAACTTATTATAAACTAATAAGCACAAACGATATAAAGACAACAAAACAAAAACATAGTATACGTACGTGTGAAATAGAGTACAAGAAACCTATTTCAGCATAAGTTAAATATGGCAGAACCAAACGAGGTAAATACCGCGAGAAGTTTCACAACATATCAAGTGACACCTCCGTCGAAATTTAGCTTTAAATCCTCGGAGTGGACCCGATGGATTCGTCGCTTTGAGCGATTCAGAATTGCGACAGAACTCGACAAGAAAGAGGAAGCCAAACAAGTCAACGCGCTGATATATACTATGGGCGACGAGGCAGATGACATAATATCGTTTGGTCTCAGCGAACAAGAAATGAAAAGCTACGAAACAGTTCGAGACAAGTTTGAAAATCACTTCATCGCCAAACGAAACGTTATTTTCGAAAGAGCAAAGTTCAACGTTCGAATTCAAGACGAAAACGAACCTGTCGAAAGTTGTATTACCGACCTGCATTGTCTTGCAAAGTATTGCGAATTTGGCGTATTAAAGGATCAGCTAATAAGAGATCGCATCGTCGTCGGACTGAGAAATAAAAAGTTGTCTGAGAAATTACAATTAGATCCAGAGCTTACTTTAGCAAAAGCCATGGCTCAAGCCAGACAAAGCGAGGAAATCAAGAAACAACAAAACATTATTCATGGACAAAAATCGACCGGAAGTAGCGAGCATAATATTGACAACATTTCTAAGAATAGAAAACAACCCTCGCGGGATTCGCGCGAAAAAAATTTTAACGACAGAAAATACGGCAAAATGGACGGCAAACCCAAATGTACGCGGTGTCTCGGACCAGCGCACTCCAGGCAATTCTGCCCAGCAAGTGAGTCTATCTGTAATAACTGTTCAAAGAAAGGACATTGGGCAAAAGCAGGTCGAAGCCAAGCAAGCCAACAACTCCGCAAGAAACAAGTTAACGAACTAACTTCCCGCCAAGAAACCGAGGAGGAAAGTTCGTCTGAGGAAGATGTCTACTTTTTGGGCGAAGTCGTACGCCTCGATACTATCAATAAATCTGGCAATAAACCGTGGACTGCAGACATAAAGGTAAACGAAACAAATATTTTATTCAAAATCGACAGCGGCGCTGACGTCACAGTGATACCTTTAACAGTATATCAACAACGAAAACTACAGTCAACACTCAAGTCGACTGGTAAAGTTCTTATGGGCCCGTGCAATTACAAAATGAACTGTATAGGAACATTAACTTCACAGCTGCGACACGAGGACAAGACAACTACAGAAGAAATATTCGTCGTTAAAGGACTCGAAAGATCATTATTAGGAAGACAAGCAGCCCACAGTCTGAATTTACTCAACTGTGTCGACGCTCTAAACAGCAACGAAATGAAAGAAAGCGTCAAAGAAAAGTATCCCAATCTTTTCACTGGTCTTGGACAAATTAAAGACCAAGAGTATGATATTAAAGTCACGCACGAAGCAACACCTTTTGCAATCACGGTTCCACGACAAGTTCCGATACCACTTCGAAAAGAAACCGAACGGGAATTACAAAGAATGGAACGCAACGGAGTAATATCTCGAGTTGAAGATCCAACCGAATGGTGCGCCCCGATGGTTGTAACGCCAAAAAGCAATGGAAAAGTTCGAGTATGCGTAGATCTCACAAAGCTTAATCAGTTCGTGCAACGTGAAAACCATCCCCTACCAACAACCGACACGACATTTGCAAACCTTGCTGGAGCTCGGTATTTTACAAAGTTAGACGCCAACTCTGGATTTTGGCAAATCAAGCTCTCGGAAAGATCAAAACCTCTAACAACGTTCATAACACCCTGGGGACGGTACTGTTTCAACGTTCTTCCTTTCGGAATAAGTTCAGGGTCTGAAAAGTTTCAGAAATGTATGTGCCAAATTCTCGAAGGTTTGGATGGGTCGAATGCAACATCGATGATGTTCTAGTTCACGGTGCAACACAAGAAGAACACGACCGAAGATTGGAAGCGGTTCTACAACGACTCGGTAACGCCAACGTCACGCTAAATGCCGAAAAGTGCGTGTTTAACGTCTCGAGTGTGAAATTCCTAGGTCAGATCGTGGGAGCTGATGGCATCAAACCCGATCCAGAGAAAATACAAGCGATTCTCGAAATGCCACACCCAACCAACCTACATGAAGTCCGTTCCTTTCTTGGAATGGTAAATCAATTTAGCAAATTTACCACCAATCTTGCTGACCTGACAAAGCCCATCCGAGAACTGCTAGTTAAGAACACTGCGTGGACATGGGGACCACCACAACAAGACGCTTTTGACAAAATCAAGAAAGCCCTGACATCAGCACCGATACTAACCTTGTACGACCCCAACAAAGCAACCAAAATAGCGGCCGACGCATCATCATACGGCCTTGGAGCGGTGGTGCTGCAAGAAGAAGAACCAGACACCTGGAAACCTGTATCATTTATTTCAAGGTCGATGACAACAACCGAGGCCAGGTATGCCCAGATAGAGAAAGAAGCTCTAGCGGTAACTTGGGCATGTGAACGGTCAAGCAATTACATAATTGGAAAACCAATAACAATTGAAACTGACCACAAACCACTGGTACCTTTATTAACTCTTTTTCACCACGCCCCAGTTAAATCGATCAGCACTGAACGATTGCAAGAAATTGCAAGAAATTTAATATCTTCGGTTCAGTGCATGCTATGAAGACAGAAATACCACCATTCGATTCAAAAATATAAGATTCAACTAATTCCTCCCTATAGTTATAGTCATTATCAACATTGTAGCGATTTATGGGCCTTTGAAGTCAAACACGATCATATTGTATCAAATTACGCAATTGTTTGAACAAAAATATAGACTAGCCGTACCTTTCGCCGAAAATAACTTCGGCCCCTTCGAAAATATCGTCTTTGTAATGTGCTTGTTAAAATCGCCATTAAAAACACTACTTAGAGTGTTATTTGCAAGCCTGTGTCTTCAAATCTGTATCTTTTATCAATATATTTCCATTTCTTGCCCGACTGTGAGCTCGAAGTGAATTAATCCCAACCGGAAATACGACTGAAAACCGTCAAAACAATTCGAAGCTTGTATCGTATGACCCTGGAAAGGCCAGAAATGGATTCGCAAGGTCAAATTGCACCTACACGCGTGAGTTTGACGTCATACCGGCCAACAGGAGCTTCTTATTGGCCAATTATTGCGCAATGTTCGCAAGTGCTAGTAAAACCCGATATCTTGAAAAATTCAAAATAAATATTTCTAGTCGGCGTATACATACGAAACTTTCTACACAAAAGCGCTTGGCCACAAAGAGTATTTTACACATATAGCCGTTCAGAAAATGGCGAAAAGTTCAAGAGATATTCAAGATCGTGTAGATATGAAATCTAGAATTTTTGGCCAAGCGGTGAGTAAATATATGATTGTTTCGGTTTGTGTAATGCTCTGACGGCACTTGACCCCCCGTTCGAAAGGTTATTTTATGAGGATTTCAATGATGGCTTTTATTTACAAGGGGGGTAAATACTCGCCGAGATATTTATTTTAGAAAAATTGTGTCGTAATCTGCAAGACTACAACGCTACAAGATGAGACTAATGAGATTCCACATCAAAGATGTTCGACACGTACCTGGAAAACTACACTACACAGCCGACACTCTGTCCAGGAAGATACCTGAAAGCACAGTCCAACCAACCGTAGAAGAAAACGAAATGAACGCTTACGTTTTAAGCGTAATTGATGCCTTGCCCGCATCTAATCCGAGATTGAAGGAAATCCAACAAGCCCAAGATGAAGACGAGGTATGCAAAGAAGTGAAGAAATACTGTATGGATCAATGGCCAGGAAAAGATCATGTCACTCCTGCCGTAAAACCTTACTGGTCAGTACAAGGAGAGCTCACCATCGCCGACGGGTTATTGCTCAAAGGAACAAGACTGGTCATTCCATCCCGCTTGCAACGCCAAACCCTCAACCAAATACACGAAGGTCACCAAGGTATCAGCAAATGCAGAGAACGAGCCAAAATATCCGTTTGGTGGCCAGGACTCAGTGCCCAAATTAAAGTCATGGTCGAAAACTGTACAACATGCAGCAAATACAGACAGCAGCATCCAGACCCATTGATGCCAACGCCACTCCCTCAAAGACCATGGCAATTGATTGCAACAGACCTTTTCATTCTAGAAAAGGTTACTTACCTACTGGTGGTAGATTATTATTCTCGCTACGTCGAAGTTGTGGCATTACCTAAAAGTACAAGTTCATCGAAGATCACTCAAGCCCTGAAAACCATTTTCGCCAGGCACGGGATTCCTGACGAGGTACGTTCCGACAATGGGCCTCAATATCATAGTGACGAATTCGCCCAGTTTGCAAAGGAGTGGGGATTCAAACACAGTACCAGCAGCCCTCGTTATCCTCAAGCGAACGGCGAAGTGGAACGAGCAGTAAAGACAGTGAAAAACATCCTGAAGAAGGAACAAGATCCAACAAAAGCACTACTGGCATATAGATCAACACCATTAGCAAGCGGATACTCTCCAGCAGAAGTCCTTATGGGAAGAAAGATAAAGTCAACAATACCAATAACACTACCACATTTAACACCACAACTGCCAAACCAGAAACTCTTCATAGAAAAAGAAGAAGTATATAGATCGAAGCAGAAAAAGAACTTTGACAATCGCCACAAAGCTCAACCATTAAAACCTCTACCACCAGGAGCAACAGTTTACATCACAGACATGGACTGTACCGGAACAATAATTAGACCATCCAAGAAACCAAGATCATATCTGGTTGATACTCCTACAACGGTAGTAAAACGAAACCGAGTACAGCTGCAAAACATTCCCAAGGACATTGATAAGAAACAAGACGAACAGGAAACAACACCATCATTAAATATAAATAGCAGACCTAGCAGAATTAAAACATTGTCTTTGAAAACAAGAGAAAATCTTGGACTAGAGTAGTTGACATTCAAAATTATTAAAACATTAAAGTTACAATCAAAATAAGCGAAAGACTTAGCTAAGTTGACATTAAGTTTTACATCTTTAAGAAAAGGGAGATGTAATGTGATTCAATTAATATTAACTATTACTAATGACGGGGCCACGTGTATATAAACTAATGTATTGATATTAAAGTCTCTTTTCAAACCTTACTACATTCTCGTCCATCCATGCGTTGAGAATTGTTTGAAAAAAATGCATTCTACTGTTAAAACATCCGGTACGGTTATCTACTTACAGTTAATGCGGAATATCCGAGACGCGTTCTTTGATAAATCACTATCGCCACTTAAAAGGCTTTACCTTATGTGGAACTCGATTTTCTTTCTGAGAATCTGGAGGTGCTGGTTGTCAGAAAAGGGTTTGACCGAAAGCGATTATTTCGTGACAAATAATGCCTACTTATGCGTTGAACTGAATGGGCATATGATGATAAACCTCGTTTACAATGTTATCCGAAGAGATTTTCCTGAAGAGGCACTACGAATCTGGTTGTCTGGATCACAAGGCTGCGAGCAACTTTTCAGGCTGCTAAGGTCAATGACACCGACCTTTTCCACAATCGTCAATTTCTCACAACCTCGCAAGCCAGGGTCTTTTACTTCCGCACGGCGCTACAGCAAAGACCCTGGTTCCCTCTGGTCACGTGAGCTCCTCAACAAGAGATCCCAGGGGAGGGTGGTTGAAATGTGATATGTTGTAATTTACAACTTCCGGTTAAATGTTGTGTTTTCAAGGCCCGCCGAGGAGTGACTGTAAAGCTATGAGAAGTGACTTCAACTGTAGTATGCAAAAACATTCAAAATGTATTATTTTTCTTATCTGTCTGCAGTTTTCTATTATAAATATTTTCTATGCAAACACTATTTTGAAGCCCAAGCAGGTTATTTGCTTGGAAAAGCTGTCCTTTGGCGTGTATATACTGGCAATTTTTCCAACCGCTAATATGGCGAGTCGCTGTTTTACCAGCTTTTACCTTTGATGCTTTTCGCTAAAAGAGCGTTAGAAGAACGTCCAACTCGTGGCGTTTGTGTAAATGAGTAATGCTGCTCGTTACAGTATATCGCGAACGCGCCTTTGATAAACAATCCAGCTCGAAAATTATATGCGATAAAACTCAAAGTAGCCATTAAAATGTGACAACGAAGAGATTGATTGCGATGTAGCTGAACTTGACCAAAAGACAAAACTAATTCTACATGTTACTTTTCAATCCATTATGTTGTTATCGTATCTCAATTTTGTTCACTTTAATCTTTATGCCAAACGTAGTATATTGCGTGTTTAATAATAACGTACCAGTCGTTATTGCGTGACTGCAGCTACAGTAAAACCCCGCATATAAGAACCTAGAATTTAAGAACCTGTTAGGCTAAAATATTTTACTTAGACCCCCTTTAAATAAGAACCTGCATGGTCAGGCTCGAAATTCAAAACAGATTCTTATATTATCAAGTACAGTAGAGTCAAAATTAAGTCATAAGTTACAATCAGTGTATAGCTCAGTAGCTTTAAATTAAAATGCATATTTACATAAGAACCTGTGCAGGCTAACTTGGAAAATCTAGGTTCTTATATGCGGGGTTTTACTGTACAGCATATAAACTTCACCGAAGGCACAAAAAAGAATCACTTGGCTTGCATAATTGCTTTGAGTTGGTTGCAAATTCTGAGCGAAAGAATATCTTTTACGAAAGGGTATTCAGATACAAGCACTGATATTGATGCCTTGGAGCGGGACATTTGCAGACCAATTTATGCTGTAGTGTATGCAAAACACAATGTTTATGTGTTGAGTGTAGTTTAGATATGAAAAGTTAATCATTTTACCTGATTATACAAATATTTTTGGGCCTGTGAAATATTCTTGACTTTGTACCAAATGAATACACAATTAATCAAATGTGAATTTTGTTAAACTCAGTTTTTTTTAAAGTGGGCACAAGTTGCACTCTCTCATATATATGTCATTATTTCCATATATAAACTCAATTTACTTCATGCACAGTACAAAACCCCATAAAGCAGTGCCAGAACACAATTCTAAATTGAATATATATTTCATATTTATACAGTATACTAACTGTAACCATACAGCTATTTGAATTAAAGTTGTCACAGACAATAGTCAGATGTACAATAATATGAGTGCTAAATGAATAATGGTAATAATGATAGTTTTCAATAAATTTAAACCTCAAATATATTATGAATACCAATTTAATTTGTATTCCCGTGAGGCTATTGATGTGTTAAAATAGAATCTTTTTTAGCGTTCAATATATTGCACATTTAACTATTGTCTGTGACACTAACCTTAATTGGAATAGCTGCATTATAAAATATAGGACAAGTGCAAATTGTGCATCTATTAATCCTTTCAAGCTAGGGTAGTCTTGGTAGCATCTGCTACAGCCATACAAATCATTGTAAGTGTTGCAGTATTCACAGTCATAATTCCTCTTCATCTTCTGATGTGTCTACTGGTACGCGCTTGGTGAATGTTCCTCTTGTGTTTGCCGGTTTAGCTAGTCATCAAATGCAGTGACAATTTGTCTATAATGTTGCTAATGTATCTGATGATATATCTGTGAAGAAACCTTCATGAAAGTGATCATATACCGTATTGTTGATTGCAAATGGTTTCAATTCCAAGAGATCACATAAAATAACATTTTCTCCGAAAATTTGTGCTTGTGAGAGGATGCCTTCTTGACTTAATTCCTACAGCTATGTCGAAGTTGTTTATCATTTCTGCAGATCGATATTCCTCCAGTCGCTATACTTTAATATTAAACATTCGATTGGCTTCACTGTCTTGGGTGTTTTATTGGCCCCCATTCTTTTAATTTAATGTTAATTTAGGAAGATTAGAAAATCCGTCATCGGTCATCACACGCAAGAGTTCCACAATTCACAAATTCTGTGATACGAAGCAGGTTTTTATTTCGCTATTCAGCTAGCTCTAAGAATAGGTTGTTGCAATACTACTTGTCGATAATACTACCACAAAGGCGACACTTGCATTCCGAAAACAAAGCCGATTTCGGGTAAATAATCTTTGCAGTTTCCTTTCGCTGTGCCATACTGTAGCTTGAGAGCTACTGAATATATTGTACTTTGACTTAGTATAGTGTGCATTCGACCATTATTTTCTTTGCGTTGATAAATAATGGCTCTACTTCAAGGTGTAAAACAGACCTCCAGCCATGCAAATTATATCAAGTAGGTGTAAAAAGCTTTCAAGCGCCAGGCGGTGACATATTTCATAAAAGATAACACAAAGACCGACAAAACCCAAAATATGGGTTAATACAGAGCGTAAATGGCCGTATTTCCATAGGCATAGTTATAGATATCGATGTTTTCGCTCGTGAATTTCCCCTTCCACTTCTCCCTAAGTGGCAAAGAGGCGGCAATTCGAATTACCCCTAAAATCTGGGGGTTCACGTGACCAGAGGGAACCAGGGTCTTCGCCGGAGCCCGAGCGCAGGTAAAAGACCCTGGCTTGCGAGGTTGAATTTCTCATTGAAAGGGATTCTGGAGAAAATTCACAAATTGCAGTTTCTGACTTCAGCAGAGACGGACGATAACATTGTTTTCCCCAGACTTAAGAGACATCTACTGCAAAGCAAAGCCGAGCATACTGACACATTTGCTGTTCCAGATATCAATGATGTAACAAAAGAAATTCTTAAAGCAAAGAACGATGCAATAGCTCTCTGTTCGGCTTGTGGAATGAAGTTGGCTTCCTACGAGGATAGCAAAATTGTGAAGGACATTGACAACATTGTTCAAGAAGCAATTGTGAACGACGATGAAAATTGCGAAATTACTGTTTTACAAACAGAGACTACATCAGACGCTACAACAACAACAACTCAAGAGCGAGACTTACCAATGCCACGGGAACAAGTTGTAACAATTTGTGAAGATCTTTCCCAAATCCGATTAAGAAAGGCATCAAACTCTGGACTGCCTTGCTACGAAAAGATTGTAAATCCACAAGCACAGAGCATTGAGACGTCAGCGAAATCTTTCAAATTGGATAAAAAGGATGGATCAAATCACAAGTTTCCTTTTTTCTCCTATAACGGTACATACATCAGAAAAACCACGGGATTGTATCTTTTACAAGAAAACTTTCAACTTTCGAACGACCGCTTGTTGCGTGTACGTGATGAGCAGCCAAGTCACATCTTTTCGAACACAGGTAGAGAAACAGGACCACAGAAATCAGTGCGATGTGGAGATCTTTGTTTATTTTCAAGAGTAGACTGTGAAAAGTGTCTAGTTGGCAGAGTTATCCAGTTTTCCTACCTTACTGGGAGCAAGAAAGAAAGACAATACTCGTCAGACTATGTAGATCTCACAAAGGATTCGCATAAGAACATTGGTGTACTGGCAAACTGGTTTCAAGGAACCCGAGCTGTTTCTGGAAACAATACCAGCGGAGGTTTAATAACTTTTAAACCAATCGAAAACGTTTTTACTCCTGGTTATTTATCCATGAAGCATTCTGTTGGAAGTATTGACGACTCCTCCTTGCAAGAAAATCCTGAGTTTTCGTTTTCTATTCCTGTAGAGGTGGTCCGGAAGGTTTTACCCAACTGGCACTCAAAAATAACCTTTGATTTTAATTAAAGTAATAAGTTCACTTTGTTGTGCATGCCTGTGCCACGATTGGTTATTTTAGGTACAAATATATGGTAAAGACGTTTTTGTTAACAATAGAATCTTTGATATTCTATAGTGTATCTTCAAAAGTTACATTAACAAAATAATAAAGTTTACATTATTTGGCAGGAGCTATGCTGTCGACTATTATTACTGCCGACGACTATTATTATTATTACTTTTTACTTAATAATTAGCATTCTAGGAATAGGTGAGGTCTTTTTGGAGTGATACATCCTCTAACGTTTAGGTGAGTGTTACTGTTCAGTCAGATTTAAACTTTTACATTCTTTGTTATTTTTGGTATTTTCAGTCATCGCTATGTTAGTCTAGCTGTCTAATGTGTTAATAATGGTACAAAACTAAAGTAAAAGTAAAGTTTTTGTGAAGTTGTTGATTTTTTTCTGTGATTTTTTTTATTTGAAATCCCTCAAAAATCCCTAAAAATCCGTGAAAATCCCTAAAAATCCCTGAGGGATTTTGAAAATCCCCAAATCTCGTACGCTTTTTTTGAGTGATACACCCCTCGATTTGTACATACTATTGAAATTTAATACAACGAAATAGCAACCATTGTGAAGTACGCATAAGATTCAGCCTGACATTCAACATGACATTCGATATAGTGTAAATGAACTCATTTCAATCACTCAAACGTCAAAATGATAAATAATAATAATTTTCAATCTATTATAGTAATTCTCCGTTTCCACGGGTTTTTTATACCTTTAAAAAGCTACAATAAAGCTAAATCTAAAGGAAATAACGTTATTTATTTTTTCTGTGTTGGTGTTGTGTACTCAGGTGAATAATATGTTTGCGTTGTTACTCTGAGTGCATATCCACACCGGGCGAGCTTGAA